ATCATAAGCTTTTATAATAATATCACGCATTGATTCAGTACTTTTTGATTTAGCAAGATGAAGCAGTAAACGAATAACAAATTGCAATGTGCGCTTTAACCATAATAAACCAACTGATCCGGATGAGTCATCACGATTAGTCTCATTGGCCAATAATTCATATAATGTATTCACATGTAGATTGTTAGATGCACGTGACACTTTCTGTAAAACAAAAAATGAAATATAAAGGTAAGACAAGTTTATAAGTAGAAAAAAAAGCCAGAAAACAGTTGATTGGTTGGTTGATTAATTTAGATGCTAACAAGACAACCTCTTCATGCTAAAGAATGAGAAGGTATCATTCTTTTACGTAGCATGAGCATAACTATAAGGAAGTAAAATCTAGTATGCACACTATGGTTATATTCATATTTATAATGTAGAATGGTTATGCAAATAATACCGACCTGTGGTGAGAGGGAGCTTTTATTAGGGTATCAGAGTATGTGGTGTTTCCTGACAAACATACTTTCATCCTGGTATTTATTATGAGCTAGCATCGTTTTGAGAAGCATTTAAAACCTTGGAGCACTTAAGGCCCGTCTCGTCTTAGTACGCGACTCTTCCTCAGAAGTATGCACCCATGATTCTACCAGGGATCGAACTCAGAAACCTCAGATCTCATGGCAGGTGTGTTATCATCCTGATATGGGGTTGGAGTTCAACAGTTCACATTTTCCTACTTGGTTAACCCACAGGTCACAATGCCTCATAAAAACCTCGTGAAAACCATCTCAAAGCTTAACACTAGTGACTATTACATAGTAATCCCCACAAACTTCGAAACTGAAAACATTCTCGGTATCTTTGGAGTGAGTTGTTTTGTGGGCTAGGATTTTAGAAGGCAAACGATCCAGTGTCATGCTAGACATCGTCATCAGTGCATTTATCAAGCCCAACTTTGCCACAGTGTAATCTGACCGGTTCGCAGGGCTGGGCGTGAGAGTAAACTGAAGTTGATTGGATGACTTCTCGCCTCAAGTTTTTTCAGCGGGTCCATAACTATCTGACTGGTTGATTTCTTCTGGTTGTTTATAGTACGCGGGTGTCGGTTCGTTGTGATTGGTCAGTAGTTCTGTTTGAACGAATTGGTGAAGGTCACCTTCTTCCAATTGATGACACTATCATTTAATAGGGTTGAAAAAGGTTCTCTTGATCTGATTCGTTAGCTGGTATGTGCTGGAGAGGGATGCTTTATGCTGACTCGTTGATTTATTCCAACTGCAGAGGAGTTCATTGCTACTCCTGGTTGATTGACTTTACGGAAGATCAAGATTTCTTTCACATTACTTGTTTGAGTGCAGAAGCTTGGTGAGTTGTACATTGGTTATCCTGGTTTTACTGATTGGTGATCCACTTTTTCTTTTTATCGAGAGTTTTCCAGGGTGAATTATCCTACCAGTCACTAAAGTGAGATTATGGGTGAACGATGTAGACAACATCTTTGTCATCCTTGATAGAAATAATATTGAATCTACTCACAAAATAATCAGTACTATTTCCAGAGAAATCATATTCACAAAAGGAGAAAAGATATCTTGATTACGAAAAGTGACGATGGATACCCGGAAACTCAAGTGTACAGGAAAACAGCGCATGCAAACCAACTACATGAAAGAGTACACTAAAATAGAATAAAATTAAAGAGGTCTCAGAGAAAATATTTCTTCATATCTTTCAACTAAAAGGCAATAAGAAAAATTTCATCAACAGATGATTTTCTAAAAAAATAAAATCAGAACCTACTACGAAAATTTACAGGTATATCCTCCCACAACTCAAGAATATGTACGAAATGGAAACCAGATTGCTTCATTCACTTGGAATGACAGTACTTCTCCAGTCGGAGTAAGCTAACAAATCAGAGTAAAGCTTCCTCTCCCAATATATACCAATCAACCAATAGGATCCAGACAACTTCAGCACTTCAGTCAAACGGAAGTGTCGCCAATCACAACGAGGCGACCTTCGTCAATTCGTTCGAGAGAAAAGGGTGGACCAGTCACAAGGAAGCAACATCAGTGTACTGTAAGCAAACAAAAGAATTCGACCAGTCAGGTCTAGTGTACGCAGACCCACTCACTTTGCGACCAATCAGACTACACTAAGGTAAAGTGGCATGTTATAAATACCCATGCACAGCCAATCGCTTCACTTCCTTGTGAAGCTCTGATGCACTGGTAACGAGGTCTAACATGGCATTGAAACGTCCACCAACTAAAAGCATAGCCCAGATAACAACTCACTCTAAACATCCACACTGTCGAGTACAAACATTTACCACAATATTTTCAGCGTTTCAAACCAAAAATTATTGGGAATTATAATTATAGCGAAAATCAATTCATTCTCAAAGTAATTGACTGGTAGATCTCAGCCAGTACTTAAGACTTGGATGTTACTTTCGTCACCTTTGCTTCCACAATAGTCCAAGAAAACCTATAATAATGTCTTTAACTGCAGCGTCGGACGATATGTACTTGAACCAAAAAGAGAATGATCTTTTTTATTGTTGTTTTCAGAAATAACTAATGATAAAGATGCGATAATCATGAGGTGCAGAATTTATGAATATTTCCGTTGGTTTGACTCCCCTTAGATAAAAGGATGTAACAACTTGAAATGATGTACAAAACGCTGTATCATCTACGGTATCTTATACCGCCGATTCTTAACATCATACGAACTCTATTGAAGTAAAAAATAATATATTTCATAACCCATGATACTGAATGTGTTGAATACTGCCCTAATAAATCAGGCAGTCTGACTGGTAGTTCCAATGATATCAACTAATAGACACTCATAGAAATGGAGAGGCTTTTTTAATTAATAGTACTTTGGGTTAACAACAGGACTCAAACTATCACTCCACAAGTTAGTAGTCAGAGTTAAGAGACCCTATTAATGGTCAGATTTCAATCTCACGTCAGTCATCAATGGTTTTGTTCAGCTATCATGTGAGTGATAGATTCAAAATCTTCACAAGTAATAACAATGAATAACAACTTGAAATAATTCCAAATCTCCACAACTCCCTCAAAATTTAATTGAACTAGTGCTCATTGGTGACTAGTTTCGAGAAGTTTTCCCGAAGTTCCAATGACAAGTCGTGATCGGTGGAGTCAAAGCCTGATGGCCATGAGGACAAATACTCAGCGATGACATTGGGTGGCGGTTGCGCTATATATCGTGAGCTAACAGAAGTTGGAAATATGGAGCATTGGATTCTGACCCAGTGGCTCAATGGTAGCGCGCTGGCGCGGAACCTGAAGGTCGCGGGTTCGATCCCTGCTGGCGGGGTCGTGGGTGCGCACTGCTGAGGAGTCCCATGCTAGGACGAGACAGCAGTCGTCCAGTGCTCCCAGGTTTCCTTTGTTCCTCCAACTGATGTCAGTCTACGATGAATAACAACTTCACAAGTAAGTCTTTTTGTTCGAAACTATATTGGCATACAAACAAAAACTTGTTTATATCAGTATAAAAAGTTATACAGTGGAAAAATTTTACTTTAAACTTACTTTAATATTCCCATCCACATCATTTTTTAGGAGAATGAATCTTGAATCCCATAAACCTGAATATTTAATTTAGTGGTTAAATTTCCTTTTAAAAAACTACAGCAAAGTATGGTTACTTACCGAAAAATTCACAAATCATTGTAGATAAATGTAAAAATGTTGGTATATCTAAATTTTTTCATCTTTAAACACTGGTATATTAGAGAAAAATGTAATCATTCTGTCTTCTGCTTTCTGAATGGGAGTGAGTAAGGTGGAAAGGTGGATTTATAGACAGATATTTTCTCAATGAACAGGATAATTGTATGAAAATAGCAATTCAGTGCACAAAAATTGTGTATACTTGAGAAACCTAAAAGAAAAATTATTAATAAATGTTTCAGGATAATATTTAAAGGTTTGTATAACAAGAGATTCACCGGTCGATGGTTGCTACCTTGACGTGGTGGTCATACCTGCACATCACAGTGACTTAACTAGCTACACTGGTGAAACGCTTGTTTCCTCGACGTTCTACCATGCTAGATAGCTTTGTTGGATAGTGATAAGATGAAAGCAGTTACCCACATTGAATGGGAGTTCGAAGGTGAAGTTGTACTATTGATAACTGGATGGAGTGTGACAGCAGTAAGTTGGTTCGCTTCGATGATCAGCAGTGTCAGGCTGATGCCGCCTTCCTTATGGTAAGCTGGGTTAGGAATGGTGGGCTTTAAGAACAGCACACTCCTTCCTGCTTCACAGTCTTCTTATACCAGGGAAAAAAGTCTCAAAACAACAATCCGCGAAAGTCCCGGGTGTGACAGGCCTAATCCTATGTCCCATCGGCTTTACAGTTACCTACTATCCCTACTTTTTCAAACACTTCACGAAGAAGTAGCCTTCCACGGCATGGACAGCTGGAAAGTGTCAACCACCCACATGCTTCCAGCAGTAGACGAGACCCAATCAAACATAACCTATCCTCCTCAACTCTGTCTCTTCCTTCGCCTTCACCACCTGACACTAATATTCAGCTTCTTTTACCTTCCTCAACCTCTCACTCTGCAACCATTGCCGACGATCAAAGCCATCTTTGAAGACCCCGTCATCGATTTCAAGTCCTATTTTTCAACATCCGAAATCCATGCCAAATCGGACAGCAAGCATGGCTTGCCAAAGATGCATGCTGTCAGTGAAACATGTCTACAGGACCAGAGTGTAGTTGTTGACCTCATATGCCTAGACAATAGGTTCGAGAAAACCATTACTACAAGAATAAGCTTAAATAGTGGCAATAATCAACGTAAGTTGTACAAGAGTTAGCTATCACAGTTCATCTGTCTGACAACAGTTTGAATCCCAACATAGTCATCAAACACAAGGATCTAGATTTGCCCAGGTAATAAGCTCAAAGTACAACTGTGTTGAAGTTAGTTGCTAAGTCTCACCAAAGTTTAAATAGACGGAGAATAGGGTTAAACTTTTTAGAAGACAGAACTAGTGCAAGAAAAGAAAACAAAAGAAGAGAATATTTATGTTTGTGGGCACATTATTTTGGAAATGTAGTAGTGAATTATAGTGTATATTGATTTTGCGCAAAACTGAGCACAATCGACGTAGGTTAGCATGTAGTTACTTGACGTATAACTATGGAATGACACAATAGAGTAACAGTTCAAGTTCACAACAGCGCAACGCAACAGAAAACCAAAGAAAACAAACAAACGAGAAGTAGGAACAATTGATGAAGAAGGATCTCAGGATATTGAGGAGGAGGGAATGTGAAAAGACCTGCGACAATATGATTAATTTTCAGTTATATCATTATTGCGAATTTTAAAAGCAACTAAGTACCACAAGTATGTCTATTTGATGTGACAAATTTAAAAAGAAACTTTTTTAGATCAATCACTAATAAATAATATAAATAAGGCAAAACTATTCAAATGAACCAATAGCTTTCATGGGGATAAAAAATCAATAAAAATACTTCGGTATAACTTTATTGATAGGAAGCTGCCTGAACAAGAATCAACATTTTAATTCATAAGCTGGCAAGATAAAAGTTTTTGCATTTCATGTTACTCCCGACCGATAGCTGCTACCTTGACGTGGTGGTCGGGCTTGCATATCACAATGACCCAACGAGCTATGCTGGTGGAACGCTTGTTCCCTCGAGGTCCTACCATACCAGAAAGGTCTGTTGGGTAGTGGTTAGACGAAAAGCAGTTACCGTTATAGTGTAAATTGCTACACTATGATGGGGGTCTGAGGGCGAAGTCGTACTGCTGCTAGCTGGATGGGGTGTGACAGCAGTAAGGTGTTTCCCTTGGATGACCAGCAGTGCCAAGCTGATGCTGCCTTCTCAGTGGAAGGGGGGGTTAGAAAAGGTCGGCCCCAAAAATAACACACTCCACCACGCCCCACGGTCTGCCGGGCCGGCGGTGTTGGTTCACTTGTCGTTTCCTTTCGACCATCCGGCCCCAAAAATACAAAAATTCAAAATAATCATACTCAAAAGGCTGGGTGTGACAGGCCTCAAGCAGATGTCCGATGGGCTCTGCGGTCACACAAATCTCTTTCAGGTACCTTAAGAAGAAATAGCCTTCCACGGTGTGGGCAGCCGGGAAGTGTCAACCGCCCTCACAACTCTGTCAGCACCCAAGTTTCTTCTGACTGCTATCCTCCTCCTCCATCATTACCTTCTAATCTTCCTTCACGTCTCTTAATTAATGATGCTGCATCATCTTCAATTTCTCCTACCTCTGCAGCCTTCGACAACGATCTGAGTCCACAGAACAGCATCCCTGGTCTCCTTAAACCACGCTCCAAATTACATATTGGAGCCTTCAATGTCCGCACCCTCCGTCAAATTGGCCAACAGGCTTCGTTGGCAAAGACTCTAGCAACTCGGGCATGGATGTGTGCTGTGTTTGTGAGACACGCATACAGGACCCAAGTGTGGTTATTCACCTGACCTCTCCTGACCAATCTGGTGAATCTGCAAAATTCACCCTTCGAGTTTCTGGAGATTCGATAGCTAGCTCTCGTGGTCTTGCAGGTGTAGGTATAGCATTAAGCACCAGGGCAGAAAACTCACTACTAGACTGGATCCCAGTTGATAGTCGCCTCTGCGCTATGAGGCTGAACGGCACAGTGAGAACTAAAAGGAATAGTGAGACTCGCCGTTGTCTCTTTGTAATCTCTGCTTACGCACCCACTGACTGTAGTTCGGATGAAGTGAAGGACGAGTTCTACCATAAACTGTCTAACCTCCTCTCGAAAGCCAAACGTTCGGACGTAGTGGTTGTTGCAGGTGACCTCAACGCACAGGTGGGTAGACTGAGTGAGGCAGAAAGGCACTTAGGTGGCACTTTCGGAATCCCAGCTGAACGTACAGATAACGGTGATCGCCTATTACAACTATGCTCAGATAACCGCCTATTTTTAGCCAGCACAAATTTCAGACATAAAGAAAGGCACTGTCTGACCTGGCGTCCACCGAGCTCGACTCAGCGATGGACACAGATAGACCACATTGCTATTAGTCATCGCTGGAGAGGATCGGTGGAAGACTGCCGCTCCTTCTGGAGTACGTGTTTGGACAGCGATCATGCGTTGGTCCGAGCACGTATATGCCTGCGTCTCAATGGACGTAGAAAAAATTTGGCAACAAAACCACTACGAGTTCTGCTGGACAACGAAAACACCAAAGCCGTGTTCAGTGAGAAGTTGGCTAGGCAGTTATCGGAACATCCAGAAGAAGCTTGGTGCCATCTTCAGTCTACTGTAAAAGCAGCACTGGAGACTGTAGCCGACTCCAAGATAATGGCTAAAAAGAGCCAGTGGATATCAGCAGCTTCTTCCAAACTAATGGATGCACGTGAATGCATCCCTGCAGGCTCTGAGTACAATGAAGAGCGAGCGCAACTTAAAAATAAACTGACGAAAAGTCTGCGCAACGATCGTGAACAGTGGTGGGCAGCAAAGGCTAAAGAGATGGAAAAGGCAGCGGCGATCGGTAACAGTAGACAGTTATTTAGACTTATTAAGGAGACTGGGGGGAAATGGTCAACAACAGTTAGTGAGGTTATAGCGGAGAAGGACGGATCGGCGATTCACTCGCAGGGAAGGCGACTGGGACGATGGGCAGAACACTTTGAGGAACAGTTTAACTGGCCTCCAGCCACCATTGCGCTGCCCGCTATCCAGTCGGACCCTGAATGGGACATAGAGACAGGTCCCCCAACACTAGAAGAAGTTGAGAAAGCGGTAGGTAGCCTGAAACGGGGAAGGGCAGCAGGACCAGACGGACTACCTGCTGAGGTATACAAGAATGGTGGTAGAGTTCTCTTAGTCAGGCTAACGGAAGTGTTAGCCAGTATATGGGAATCAAATACGATCCCCTCCGACTGGTCTAAGTCACTCATCATCCCAGTCTTCAAGAAAGGCGAGAAGTCCTCTTGTGATAACCACAGAGGAATCAGCCTGACAAACATAGTGTCTAAGATCCTAAGTTCTATAATTCTCCGACGCCTGAGTGGAGCTCGGGAACAGCAAGCCCGAGAAAACCAGGCAGGCTTTAGACCTGGCCGTGGATGTATCGACCAAATATTCACACTGCGCCAGGTCCTGGAACATAGGCATGCTTACAGACGCCCGACAATAGCTGTATTTCTCGACCTGAAGGCGGCATTTGACTCCGTTGATCGAGAAGTCTTATGGCAGTGTCTGTCACTGAAAGGCGTGCCTAGTAAGTACATCACCTTATTGAAAGCTCTCTACTCGAACACTTGTGGGCATGTTAGAGCCTATGGTGAGTTGTCCAGGGAGCTATACTCATCAAGTGGTGTCCGTCAAGGATGCCCACTATCCCCATTCTTATTTAATTTTATCATAGATATTCTTATGGAGGTTTCCCTCTCGTCACCTAATTACAAAGACGTTGACCCGATCACAGGTGAATTTTCCTTAGATCTAGAATATGCAGATGACATAGTCCTGTTAGGTGAAGACGCTGACAAGATGCAGAGTCTTCTGAACACTTTGAGTGGGAATTTGAGAATGTTTGGGATGCGATTTTCACCACCCAAATGCAAATTTTTGCTCCAGGACTGGTCTTCAGCGGTACCGCGGTTAACAATAGAGAGTGAAGTGGTT